AGCCAAAGATGACATCAGTTAGAAGACATCTTCCACAAACTTTGACCTCCACGTCTATTCATCTTCAAGCATCTGTGCCTACGAGCTCTGTCTGCTTCCTATCACCACAGAACTGCTCGTGTTGGGCCTATCCCTCCACTTGTGACCTGTGTCCTCACCCCCTTTCCTAATTAAGAGCGTTATTCTTAAAATTGTCCTCTTTCTCCTGTATCATCAACTTTATTCTCTACTCACTCATCGTTCAAATATGCAGTTCTTTCTCTCAACAAAAACGAGAACCAAAACCGTCCCTTTACCTCGCTCCCCCTTCAGCTACGATACTCGCTGTCACCAGTTCTCCCAGCCCCTCCCAGATCCCTCTCAGCCGGACTTTCGCTTCCACCACCATTGACGCATTTGATCGGTCCCTTCTACTTAAAATATTTTCTCCGTTTGTCATAAAGGGAGACTGGGGCTGGAGGGAAAGTTTGGGGACAGCTGATGAGGGCCTTCCACTGGCCTGCTCTGGGCTGGGGCCAGCCCCTCGCCAAGCTGGGGGCCAGCGGGAGGCAGTAGGAGGGAACAATCAAATGTGTCAATTCTTGTTAGTGAGGTCAAATAAGGTGAGACCAGAGAGTCAAGCATCGGGTTTAGCAATATGGAGGCCATTGGTCACACGGGCTAGCAGTGCCAGTGGATGTTGAGCACCAATTTTGTCCTTTGTCAGATAACATATCTGAGCTCTGAAACTAGTCTTGATTTTTCTAGATAAGTTTAATGGAGTCCTAACTCTGAGAAAATGTTTCTAATATTTTTTCTTTATGATTTCTTCTTTTTATTTTCAATTATAATAGAAAAGAGGAAAGAAGGCCATCTATAATATTAGCGTTCAATATTATTTTATATTAGTTTCGGCATTATTCACAATAGTCAAAAGGTAGAAGCAACCCAATGTCCGTTGACAGATCAATGGATAAACGAAATGTGATAGATACACAGAATAGAATATTATTCAGCCTTGAAAAAGGAAATTCTGACACATGCTACAACATGGACGAACCCTAAAGATACACTAAGTGAAATAAGCCAGTCACACACACAAAAAAAATACTATAGATTCCACTTACATGAGGCACCTAGAGTAGTCGAATTCATAGAGACAGGAAGTAGACTCGTGGAGGAACCAGGAGGAACTGGAGGACAAGGAGAATGGGGAGTTATCCTTTAATGGACATGGAGTTTTAGTTTTGCAAGATGAAAAAAGTTCTGGAGATGGATGGTGGTGATGGTAACACAACAATGTGATTATGCTTAATGCCACTGCACTGCACATTTAAAAAATAGTTAAAATGGTCATTTTTATGT